GACTGCATATTTTTGGATTGTCAGAAAGCCTTTGACACAGTGCCACACAAGAGGTTAGTGAAAAAACTGGAGATGCAGGCTGGAGTGAAAGGGAAGGTACTCCGTTGGATACAGGAGTACCTAAGTAACAGGAGACAACGAGTCAGTGTGAGGGGTGAGGTCTCAGATTGGCGAGACGTTACGAGTGGAGTACCGCAGGGGTCAGTCCTTGGACCTATACTGTTTCTGATATATGTAAATGATCTTCCAGAGGGTATAGAATCGTTTCTCTCAATGTTTGCCGATGATGCAAAAATTATGAGGAGGATTGAAACTGAGGACGATAGTAGGAGGCTACAAGATGACCTAGACAGACTGAGTGAATGGTCCAACAAATGGCTGTTGAAGTTCAACCCGAGTAAATGCAAAGTAATGAAACTAGGTGGTGGAAATAGGAGGCCAAACACAGGATACAGAATAGGAGATGAAGTACTTAATGAAACGAACAGAGAGAAAGATCTAGGAGTTGATATCACACCAAACCTGTCTCCTGAAGCCCACATAAAAAGAATAACGTCTGCGGCATATGCGAGGCTGGCTAACATCAGAACAGCGTTCAGGAACCTGTGTAAGGAATCATTCAGAATCTTGTACACCACATATGTAAGACCAATCCTGGAGTATGCGGCCCCAGCATGGAGCCCGTACCTTGTCAAGCACAAGACGAAGCTGGAAAAAGTCCAAAGGTATGCCACTAGACTAGTCCCAGAACTAAGAGGCATGAGTTACGAGGAAAGGCTGCGGGAAATGCACCTTACGACACTGGAAGACAGAAGAGTAAGGGGAGACATGATCACAACCTACAAAATCCTCAGAGGAATCGACCGGGTAAACAAAGATAAACTATTCAACACTGGTGGGACGCGAACAAGGGGACACAGGTGGAAACTGAGTACTCACATGAGCCACAGAGACGTTAGAAGGAACTTTTTTAGTGTCAGAGTAGTTAACGGATGGAATGCATTAGGCAGTGATGTGGTGGAGGCTGACTCCATACACAGTTTTAAATGTAGATATGATAGAGCCCAGTAGGCTCAGGAATCTGTACACCAGTTGATTGACAGTTGAGAGGCGGGACCAAAGAGCCAAAGCTCAACCCCCGCAAGCACAAATAGGTGAGTACAAATAGGTGAGTACACACAGGCCATGCCAACTACAGCAAGTGCTTAGGATAAAAGGTTATTCTTTACCCGTCCGTCGAGTTGTTCTGGTGGTATATGCAACATCTGTAATGATAGACAATGTTAGAACACACGGCAACTGTCTGCAAGACACGGCAAGAATGTACATACACGCGCGAACATGGAGAGTCTTCGAGGAGGAGGAGGAGGGAGGAATGGGGCATTGAAGACTCTTTAGTCATCGCTAGGGCCAGCCAGGGGAGCCCCCGGGGCCTCCTGGGAGCCCCCGGGGCCTCCTGGGAGCCCCCGGGGCCTCCTGGGAGCCCCCGGGGCCTCCTGGGAGCCCTCAGGGCCTCCTGGGAGCCCCCGGGGCCTCCTGGGAGCCCCCGGGGCCTCCTGGGAGCCCCCGGGGCCTCCTGGGAGCCCCCGGGGCCTCCTGGGAGCCCCCAGGGCCTCCTGGGAGCCCCCAGGGCCTCCTGGGAGCCCCAGGGCCTCTTGGGAGCCCCCAGGGCCTCCTGGGAGCCCTCAGGGCCTCCTGGGAGCCCTCAGGGCCTCCTGGGAGCCCTCAGGGCCTCCTGGGAGCCCCCAGGGCCTCCTGGGAGCCCCCAGGGCCTCCTGGGAGCCCTCAGGGCCTCCTGGGAGCCCTCAGGGCGTCCTGGGAGCCCCCAGGGCCTCCTGGGAGCCCCCAGGGCCTCCTGGGAGCCCCCAGGGCCTCCTGGGAGCCCTCAGGGCCTCCTGGGAGCCCCCAGGGCCTCCTGGGAGCCCCCAGGGCCTCCTGGGAGCCCTCAGGGCCTCCTGGGAGCCCCCAGGGCCTCCTGGGAGCCCTAGGACCAATCACAGGCGGAGCATAACAATCCATCCCAGCCCTTCCTAGTAACTATTTTCTATTCACTATTTTCATCTAACACTTACAAAAAATAATTACGCAAAGTTGTCACTAATTTATAGAACTAATTACGGAAATATTAAGCCGAGTATTAAGTAAATTGAGCAATTATTTGATGCAAACATTTCCTGGAGAGATGATCAAAGTTATCACATCAGCAAGTGGGGGTAATTAACCCCTGGTAATTAACCCCTGGTGATCCGGCACCAGGTTAATTGTGAGAAATATTTTGTGTTCCCGCTAACGAGGTCACTGGAGCCGTAGTTTAGCTGAATAATGTTTTACGACAAGATTGGCCATTTTAAACTGCAAGAGAATCTCGTCCGCGCCCTTTAGCATGACACACACTTAGTCTATCTCCTATCCTTCAAGGATAGGAGATAGACTAAGTGTGAGTAAGACTATCTAAGTAAGACTAAGTAAGTAAGACTATCCTTCAAGAATAGGAGGTATCTCCTATCCTTGAAGGATATCCTCCTATCTGATATCCTATCTCCTATCCCCCCTACTCTCAGTAGGGGGTACAGGGGGGGGATAAGAGATGCCTTCATAAGCATAATGGGGCAATGCAGCCTCCCTTTAATTAAGAGAATACTAAAAAAAAAAATTATGTGCAATTCCACGCACACAATAACAGTGACCATTAGCACCTAAACTGCTCAATGCTGCCTGTTCAACTCTCACACGCAGAAGGCTGATTACAAACTTAATGATTTAAGTGCTCGCTAAAACTTAATTGCTGATATGCATGTGCTTGAATGGGCAACAGATCACTTGAGAAACTAATATTAGTTACTAATCTCTAAAAATAATCTACTAATCTCTAAAATAATTTACTAATCTCTAAAATAATTTTTGAAATGTTTCCTTGCAGAGCGCACTTGTTTACACAAGAAAAATGACTTGAGAAAACAATTACATTCATTTACCATCAAGCACTTGACTGGTGTATAACTAGGCCAGGACGTCTGAAGCAGGTGGGAAGCAATCTCCAAGGATCTGACACCTGCGTACGCACGATTGTTTCAAGCGTGGGTTGGACAAGTATATGAGTGGGATTGGGTGGTTATAGATAGGAGCTACCTCGTATGGGCCAATAGGCCTTCTGCAGTTACCTTTGTTCTTATGTTCTTATGTGACAGTGTTGCAAAGATAACAGCAGACGCCCAAACAGCGGGTAGTGCCATCCCAGGCAGTGCCACCCCTGGGCAGTGCCACCATCCCGGGCAGTGCCACCCCATACAACACTGAAACACTTCCATCGCTGCTAAACCCAACAGTCTCTCCACAACGCCAGAAGGAAGTGTTGAAAAACAACAACATATTCAATCATATCAACTATTTCTGAAAAATCCTTATGCTGTGCACGAATAGAAACATTTTGGGCAATGAGCTAGTAGTAGTGGCAGCTAGAGCACGAGGAAACAGCAGTGAGCAGGGGGGGAGATACAGCAGTAAGCAGGCGGGGGGGGGGGGGGAGGGGGGGGGAAATAGCAGTTAGCAGGCGGGGAATGAGGGTACATAAGCGAGCTAGAGAGGAAAGAGATACTACATAAAATGTAAAATTAAATCTGCAAATGCAAAGTTTGGAGGATATGGAGAGAGAGAGAGACCAAAGAAGGACAGCCTAAATGACACACTGGGAGAACGCGAGTGAGTGAGTGAGTGAGTGAGTGAGTGAGTGAGTGAGTGAGTGAGTGAGTGAGTGAGTGAGGTGTCATCTGGCTATACATTACATCAACCAAACACTGGAATACAAACAATATGATGAATACAACAGCATGACACCCTTCAGTCTAAGCCTGTCACTATAGGCCATGCTACACAACATGCAATTTAGTAAAGGATGGAAACTTTGGAAACACACAAGAGGTTTACCATGGTAAACCCCCACCCACATGTTCACCCCCCCTCCCCCCACCATGACAGCCAGGGTCACCACCTACACTCACTAAACGCATTAAACATTCAACGCGCGACCCGTGTCCTCCAATGAAAATGTGAAAAAAATCGACCGATATGCCCTTCACACCTTGTTACCCCTCCCCTAACCCCTCCCCCAACCCCCTACCCCCTCAACCCCTCCCCAACCCCCTACCCCTTCAAACTACTACTATTTATATTTAGTTTGGCCCTTATGGTACCATAAAAAAGGGGGGAGGGAGGGTTGTCAACGCAAGGTACCGCGGAAGAAACTAGATCCCGTAACCCTAGAAGCAGAAGGCAACCCGTTCTCGCAAATTAGTAAAGTCAATATTGACTTATTAACTACGTGCATAGGTGATATACTAAACATAATAGATACCCTTAAAAAGATTCATAGAAAACACCGACCTTACCTAACCTTGTTAGTATCTTAAGATAAGCATCTTATTGCTTCGTAATTACAATTATTACTTAACCTATACCTATTATAGGTTAGGTAATAATTGTAATTACGAAGCAATAAGATGCTTATCTTAACATACTAAGTAGGTTAGGTAAGGTCGGTGTTTTCTATGAAGCTTTTCAAGGGAAACTATTATGTTAAGTATGTCACCTATGCACATATTTAATAAGTCAATATTGACTTATTAAATTTGCGAGAACGGGTTGCAGAAGTACACTGAGAAAGCGGTCATGCAGGAGGACGTCTTCAAGATGCATGCAACCCCCGGGGGGGGGGGGGGGGTAGAAATAGTCTAAGCTACTCTATCCCTTTGAGATATAATTTTTTCCTTGCCTCAATAAACATACTTGATTGCATGCAACGCACACCATTTGGTTACCATTTGGTCCGGGAGACATCTCCCGTCACGCAGGGTGCAGTTGCGCCTCCACAGATCTCCAGTATCATCTCTTGATACTGGTAATGGCTCAAAAGGGCCACCACTTACGGGCTATTCATGCCCGTGCCACCTCTTGGGTGGCTTAATCTTCATCAATCATGCAACGCAGGTAAACCATGGCCTTACCTGATGTTCCCGCTGTGATATATGCAACATCTGCAACGAAGATTAAAAAAATGGAGTTAGTCGGGTTAGTTGAGAATCGTGCAGGGAGACGGAACACACTGAGCGTATTTCGGGACGCTCTACGCTATATTAAAGCCAGGAGTAGGCTTTAATATATTTAACAATGAGGCTCTTAGGCTACAATGATGTGGTTATTAGGCTACAATGTGGTTATTAGGCTACAATGAGGCTGTTAGGCTACAATGATGTGGTTATTAGGCTACAATGATGTGGTTATTAGGCTACAATGATGTGGTTATTAGGCTACAATGATGTGGTTATTAGGCTACAATGATGTGGTTATTAGGCCACAATGATGTGGTTATTAGGCCACAATGATGTGGTTATTAGGCTACAATGATGTGGTTATTAGGCCACAATGATGTTATTAGGCTACAATGATGTGGTTATTAGGCCACAATGATGTGGTTATTAGGCCACAATGATGTGGTTATTAGGCCACAATGATGTGGTTATTAGGCTACAATGATGTGGTTATTAGGCCACAATGATGTGGTTATTAGGCCACAATGATGTGGTTATTAGGCTACAATGATGTGGTTATTAGGCTACAATGATGTGGTTATTAGGCTACAATGATGTGGTTATTAGGCTACAATGATGTGGTTATTAGGCTACAATGATGTGGTTATTAGGCTACAATGTGGTTATTAGGTTAGTTTATAAGTAATATTACAGCCGACGACACATCACCACAACGCTGAAGAAAGTAGTAGTAGGTTAAACTGACGGCCAATATTAACGGGGTACTAACATCATAAATATAACCACTACAATTTACATTACATCCAAACAATCTATATAAAGATAAAGACGAGGAGGGGAAAAGGGGACGACGAGAGGGGAGGGGGGGGGAGGGGGACGACGAGGGAGGAATTATAAATCTGTCGGAGGAACAACTCGGGCTTCAGTAAGCCTAACCTTCCCACCGTCCACTTACAAACATTTAGGAAAATTTCTTATATGGAACACAAAACACACTACAGTAGTCTACTTCAGCAGTAGAATAACCTGTATACACACACATATACTCACAAACAAAGCGTATACATGAAACCAGTCCACCACCCCCTCCGTCAACCACCATCGGAGCACACATAATCTACCCCCCCCCCCCCCTTCCCGAGCAGTTTACGACAATACCAAACAGAATGGTTAAAGGGACTAGGCGCCTTGTTGATTGGTGGCCGAAGTCCGCGCATATTCCAGCTTCACACACACTCACACAAGCTTTCACCCAGCTTGTGGCACTAGTCTCTGTCTTATCTCACACAATAACACAGGCGATAACCGTAAAATAACAGCAGAAGTAACTGCTTCAAATATTGCGGCTAGCTGTAACAGTTTCTGTAACTGGCAGCGGTTAGTTTGCACACACCCACCCAGGCCACACCCTTCCACCCAACACCCACACCCACCCCGGTAGAAAAAGGCCTACGGACTCACCATAGCCCGTGCTACTTGGAATTTTACATTCCAGGTAGCGAATCTTTAACAACACCCACCCCGGTAGAGAGCGGGGACGCATCACACACTAACGGACAAGCCTGCCAAGCCGGTTGACGCAAGGAGTGATATGGTGCCTCCCGTACGGGTGTGACGCACAGCTTAAAGCAGATGTCTGCGTCATCAACCATGGCTTCAAGATGATGTACTCGTGCGCACGAGAGACGCTCCTTTAATTACCAGGAGGTCGGCGTGCTGATGATTCAGCCACCGTGGGTGTGCTGCCTCCATCCCATCCCCCGACACAATGCAAGATTGGACTGGCCAAGACTTGCTGGATTCTCCTCTACCAATACTCGCAACTCAGGCTGCCAGAACCCGCGGCTGGTAGCAACAGTAACCAGCAAAGCACCACCACCATCCACTCACAACCAGTAATCCAATTAGGTGGTTTATTATATAAACACCAACTGGATAGTTATAGGTGACCTCGCATAAGCTAGCACGAGTCAGGAGGGACCCCACATTAAGGAGGACTTGTTCAGTAAGACCCACGACTTACTCAAGCAAGGTACAGAGCCCTACATCGGTCCCTACCTCCCTACCATCGTTATCTTGGCCTTTCTTACCTATTCCCTAGACCTTGTTAACTCTCGGGTCGTTTTAGATTGTACTGAACGAACTCCACGAAACTTTTCCCCATTTATGTTTCGTGTGAAATACTCGCATTTTTTCAGTACTAAAACTTCGTTATTTATCAGTTCAATTTATGTTGAACTAATAAATAACGCTGCCTAATCTAAGCTTGATCCTTGACTATCTTGTGGTGGAATAGGCGGGTCAGTAGTTGATGGTCTGATCACTACGATTGTTAGTGTCTGCAGTTAGCAGGTTAGGAGCACAAAGACGGCATTTACGAAGTTACCTCTTGGACACAATTAGAGACTTGTTGGCAATTGTCTTGGTAACTAGAGGGAAGGGGATTGAAAAGCCTCGTGAGCTCCGTAACAAGTACTCAGGCCGCTTCTTAAAAAGGCAAGATTCTGTCAGCTGTACCACATGCTTCCTGGTCTCCTAAGGAATTATTTCAATGTTCAGACTGGAAGCTGTCCAAACCTTCCCCAGAGCCACCTCATCCCAGCCCACAACCCCCCACGCCAACCCCAACCCCCACAACACCCCCCCTCCTCCCAACCACCCCCCCCTCCCCCCACCGACACAATGCCTACAGCCATATCAATCACACACAACAAATGACTATGAAACACTTTGTTCACTTACATTAAACAATTTAAAACTTTTCCGCCTACTTTTACAGTTTCATCTATTTACAACATTGACAAAAGTTTGGGTGATATTTTCATATTTTTATCTTGCACTTTTGAGAAAGTTTAGCATGGGAGGAAAAATACGGCCAACAAGGTGGAGGAGGGAGAGGAGGGAGAGACCGAGGGAGAGAAGGGAGAGACCGAAGAACAGAAGGGAGAGAAGGTACAGAATGAGAAAAAAGGTAGAAACTGAGGAAGAGAATGATAAAGGATGGAAGAGAATGATAACGTTCTGGTTTTCCTCCTCCATCCTTTATCTCGAGATGATTTCGGGGCTTAGCGTCCCCGCGGCCCGGTCCTCGACCAGGCCTCTTATTTTTTGTTACACATCCCCCAGGAAGCAGCCCGTAGCAGCTGTCTAACTCCCAGGTACCTATTTACTGCTAGGTAAGAAGGGCATCAGGGAGAAAAACTCTGCCCGTTTGTTTCCACCTCCACTGGGGAGCGAACCCGGAGTTTCAGGACTAAGAATCCGAAGCGCTGTCCACTCAGCTATCAGCCCCCCTGACAGACCGTGTCAAAACTATTAAAGCAAGATTACCATCAAACATCTTAGACTAAATAAAACGTCGCCAATACAAATGTAAAAGAAATAAAAAAATAAGTAATAGGCTGCGGGCCGCTGCAAGCAACAGCCTGGTGGACCAAACTCTCACAAGTCAAGCCTGGCCTCGGGCCGGGCTTGGGGAGTAGAAGAACTCCCAGAACCCCATCAACCAGGTATATGTGGGCCTGCGGGCCGCTCCAAGCAACAGCCTGGTGGACCAAACTCTCACAAGTCAAGCCTGGCCTCGGGCCGGGCTTGGGGAGTAGAAGAACTCCCAGAACCCCATCAAGCAGGTATATGTGGGCCTGCGGGCCGCTCCAAGCAACAGCCTGGTGGACCAAACTCTCACAAGTCAAGCCTGGCCTCGGGCCGGGCTTGGGGAGTAGAAGAACTCCCAGAACCCCATCAACCAGGTATATGTGGGCCTGCGGGCCGCTCCAAGCAACAGCCTGGTGGACCAAACTCTCACAAGTCAAGCCTGGCCTCGGGCCGGGCTTGGGGAGTAGAAGAACTCCCAGAACCCCATCAACCAGGTATATGTGGGCCTGCGGGCCGCTCCAAGCAACAGCCTGGTGGACCAAACTCTCACAAGTCAAGCCTGGCCTCGGGCCGGGCTTGGGGAGTAGAAGAACTCCCAGAACCCCATCAACCAGGTATATGTGGGCCTGCGGGCCGCTCCAAGCAACAGCCTGGTGGACCAAACTCTCACAAGTCAAGCCTGGCCTCGGGCCGGGCTTGGGGGGTAGAAGAACTCCCAGAACCCCATCAACCAGGTATATGTGGGCCTGCGGGCCGCTCCAAGCAACAGCCTGGTGGACCAAACTCTCACAAGTCAAGCCTGGCCTCGGGCCGGGCTTGGGGAGTAGAAGAACTCCCAGAACCCCATCAACCAGGTATCAACCAGCTAGTTGAGCCTGCAGGGTGGAGGATCTCCTCGTCAGCTCCACCTTGCCACCGGGATTAGTTCAATGCAGTGACCTTCCCTCATTTTTACTTATCACATTCTCATTTAAAGTTGTGTAAACGGAATTGCTTCGATAACTACAGTCCGTTCCGCTTAAGACTCGAAGTTGGAGAAGTTCTGACATGTGACCCATCTGTGTGTGTGCTCGCCTAGTGCTTGTGGGAGGGTTGAGCTTCGGCTCTTTAGTCCCGCCTCTCGACTGCCAATCAATCCATGTACAGATTCCTGATATGTGTTTGTGGGGATATGTTATGGTGCTTTCCACCTGCGCACACCCCAACCACTTGGGCTGGACGGTAGAGCGACGATCGCACTTCATGCAGGTCGGCGTTCAATCCCCGACCGTCCAAGTGGTTGGGCACCATTCCTTCCCCCCGTCCCATCCCATATCCTTATCCTGACCCCTTCCCAGTGCTATATAGTCGTTGTAGCTTGGCGCTTTCTCCTGATAATTCCCTTCCCTTCCACCTGCGCACGCGTCACTCCCGGGCCTTGCACAGCTGGGGTGATCATTTGCATGCCACAACGTCACTGTACGGTGGTACTAGTGTGCTCTAGTCACGCTCTCTCTTGTGTCGTGAGGCTCTGGTGGATGTGCTTAAGTGGGTAGGAGTGTCGGCTTATAAGTTGGTCTGGTTTATACCTGGTTGATACCTGGTTGATGGGGTTCTGGGAGTTCTTCTAC